AACAATATTCACATGTCCTGATATTTAGTTCAGATGATGATCAAACATGAACAACTATATTCACATGTCCTGATATTTAGTTCAGACGGTCATCAAAGATGGACAACAACATTCACACATCCTGATATTAAGTTCAGATGATGATCAAACATGGACAACAATATTCACATGTCCTGATATTAAGTTCAGACGATAATCAAACATGAACAACAATATTTACGTGTCTGATATTTAGCTCAGATGATGATAAAACATGGACAACAATATTCACATGACCTGATATTTAGGTCAGATGATGATCAAACATGGACAACAATATTCACGTGTCCTGATATTTAGTTCAAATGGTGATCAAATATGAACAACAATATACATGTCCTAATATTTAGTTCAGATGATGATCAAACATGAACAACAACATTCACATGTCCTGATATTTAGTTCAGATTATGATCAAACATGAACAACAATATTCACGTGTCCTGATATTTAGTTCAGATGATGATCAAACACGGACAACAATATTCACGTGTCTGGATATTTAGTTCAAATGGTGATCAAACACAAACAACATTCACATGTTCTGATATTTAGTTCAGATGATGATCAAACATGGACAACAATATTCACGTGTCCTGATATTTAGTTCAGATGGTGATCAAACATGAACAACAATATTCACGTGTCCTGATATTTAGTTCAGATGATGATCAAACATGGACAACAATATTCACGTGTCCTGATATTTAGTTCAAATGGTGATCAAATATGAACAACAATATACATGTCCTAATATTTAGTTCAGATGATGATCAAACATGAACAACAACATTCACATGTTTTGATATTTAGTTCAGATGATGATTAAAGAAAAAATTAAGATTTTCTCTTCTGACTTTCTTGAACACCTCCATGAAGTGTTCTCTAATATCTACTACATTCAGAGAATGAACTGGATCTATGCACTGTTAAACTTTCACAGCATCTGGATGAAAAGTTCATCAGTTATTATTCTTTGAGCAACTGAAGTGTTGAAATGTTATATGCTGATATATATATCATTGGACAGTTAATAAACATCAACACACATCATTGGCTAATGATTCGGGTACATTTAAAATGGAAGCTTTGAAATAAGATTAATCAATAAAACCTTATAAATTTATTTTTCATATACACAAGAATAAAAAACAGCAAATGTGAGCCTACATTTCTAAAACTACCTTAAAAATCTTAAATAGCATAAAAACAGCAGCAACCTACATGAATAAACTAATGGGATCATGGTATATCTATCACGTATTTTTTATGTAAGATTATAAGAATTTCAGAAGGTTTACAAAAATCATTATAATTGATATCATAACCTATAATATAGACTCTGTTAGCAACTGAAAAGCCCTACATTCAAATAATCAGAGAATTTGCTTTAAACTTTAGAGAAGTAGGCTGGAGTCCATCACCCATAATCAGTATTGGATACACACAGTCAAGCCATAGAACGACAATACAATGTCCCTTCTTGATCCAATGGTGGTGTTTTTATACTGGACCTAAGCCAGATTCATTACTTCCATATCTGCTTATACATATATGTATATATTTATCTATTTACAATAATTATAGCATCAAAAAAACAGAGAATTAAGCCAATAACCTATAATAATAACAAAACATACATAATGCAGCATTTTGAAGTAAGCTTGTTTCATATTAATAACAAATGTTCTTAGGTTGTAACAAAAGTTTTTGGAAGAACCTAAAACAAAAATGTAGATTCTGTATCAGACAAATTACAAGAATTAAAAAAAAAGTAAGTCTATAATTATAGAAAAAAATGGCTATAATTATTGAAATTCAAAAGCATACCTAACTTGGTATTAAAAAGCCAAAGATTGGACAGAGTAAACATCAGAACACAATGATACTGTTTATGCTACAGATTACTACAAAGATAAAAGTTAGTGTTAAAACAGTCAAAGGCTGAAAAAGCATAAAAGGAATAATTTCATACAAAATACTAGGTATGAGATGGACAATCAGTAATACATCAAAACTTGAATTAACATTAATAATCATAAAAATACAGTATTCGTAAGAGACTGACTACTATCTGGCTCTTAAATATAATGTTCTCAGTAGAAATTACTATGTCTATAAATAAACATCAGTAGCAAGACAAGTAAAAAAAAAAGATGATTATTATCAAACTTAGTGAGACGTAATTTGCATCTTGACTTTGAAGTTATTCTGATAAAAAGATGAATGTTCTAAAACCAATAAAATATAGAGAAAATTCTGAGTCCTCAGTAATTTGGAAAACTCTTTAATTTAAGCTAAATTGTTGCAATTCTACATAATTTTCACAACCTAGGTAAATAGTGTTATTTAGTATCTGAGAAATGAAAGCACAAGTAATTTAAATACTAATTTATTCTCTATTATTCAAAATAATATTAACAATATAATGTTTATACAAGTGCTACACATAACACATTTTTTAAATGTTTAGCTGCAACAATGGGAAAAGAAGGCACAAAACAACAAGAAGACAATGCCATCTACATAGTTTATTAGAACAAGAAATAATTAGTTAGTGAAATATCAACCACATCTAAACTTTTCAGGTGATAAAACACATGCTTTCTATAAATTTAGACAATCTAGCCATTCTTTCAAACTAACCTATAGCATCTAGCCATTCTTTCAAACCAACCTGTAGAATCTAGCCATTCTTTCAAACCAACCTATAGCATCTAGCCATTCTTTCAAACCAACCAGTAGAATCTAGCCATTCTTTCAAACCAACCTGTAGAATCTAGCCATTCTTTCAAACCAACCTGTAGAATCTAGCCATT